CACATTGTGAAGGTTGTAACTGATTGTTTTGCTGGCTTTCTCCATGTTTGACAATGCAGAGTCAATATTGCCAAGATAGACGCAGTGGTGAGAAGTACGGCTTGCCATCTTCCAGCGTGGTGTTGGCCGAATCTGCCGAGGTCATCCAAGGTGTCATTGATGGCAAGGTAGGAACAGACTGTAGGTTTGGTCATGCACAAAATGTAGCCACTCTTTGTCCATTCATTTGTTTGCATACATGTGTGTTGGTTCACACCAATAAGGAAATAGGAACCAGACTTTGGTATACGCGGGACTGTTATCACAGAAAGTGGAAGACAGTGAAAGCGTGATTTTATTTGTTCAAAAATGTTTGGTCATACCAGGAAGGCCTCAGATGTTTAGCTCTGTTAATGCAAAATATTAGCATTGTTGAGCCTGACTTATTCATCATTTAACCACTTTCTGCCGGGCCCATTTATCCATGTTGATTCTGCTGGGCCGGGTGACTTTTTATTTTTTTCCCAAATTCTTTAAAAATTCAGAATTTCATTTCCTGGATGTTTACACCCACACGAATGACTATCTGGTGGCTGCTCTAATATGACAGACAACATCTATTGCTGCCCGGGTATTTCAGGCAGGCCTGCCTCCTTGTTGAAAGAGCCCAGATTGTGCGGTGTTATGTAGTTTTCTTTTGTTCACGAAACTGGCAGAGCACGCTGCTGACATCTTTACAATACGGGCTAGATTAGCATGCAGCGGTATTGTATTGCGTATCACTGGAGTGCTTTTGTCCCCGGTGGTAATCTGCTCATGCTGAATGCCACAAATAGTGCTATAATCTTTCGACACAGTGACGGATTTCTTCCGCGTTTGACAACTGAAAAAATTTTAACAATTCCCAGCAGCTCAGTCTTTTGTTCCAAAAACAGTCTTTTGTTACAAGTCCCAGCTCTTTTGTCCGATTTTGGGCTCCCCGGCTTCGTGTATAAAGCCTATGTGCCCGAAACCGGGTACCCTGGCACGAAGTGGTTAAACTGTGATGTACATGTACGTTACTCCTTCATCCACAGGTGAGCAGCTGTCTGAACCAATACGAGGACATGTTTGAGTACCTTCACTTCTCGGATCAATTTTCTGGTCCCAAGCCAAATGCAGAGTAAGCTGACCACCGTTTCCAGTCTGTTCTTATTTATGTTTTATTCAACCAAGAGTGAGGTTTGATTATCTCGGTCACATCAGGGCCAGAGCTTTCACAAAAAAGATACTGTTCAAATGTGTGTTTTGTACACTGAGTGGAGCGAGTCAGAGAAGAAAATGCCTTACTTAGGAAATAATACAGCGATGTAAATTGTTAAAAAAAAGTTAATAAAGAGAGTTTAATTCTGCCACATTGCAGATCCAAAGTTTCATATCCAGTATATGAACAAGTCAATGTGGCTTTCAGCGTGTTAAATAGACATCTGTGTTGATGACGCCACGTGTGTGCTTCCCTGTGGTGCTCAGTGGACCATGGACCCCCACTGGCTTCCTAGGAATGTGCACATGTAAAGAAAGTGTGACATCATCTAAACCATTCACTGTACGCTGAACTTTCAGATGCGCCATGTTTGAATGTCACACCTTAAATGTTCAGTGTGGCCGAAAAGATACAGTTTCCACGTTTCAAATCTTTTTGCAGTGATGAGCAACCAACCAAGATGCCAGAAACCAAGAAAGTTCTCATCTTCTGTTTCAAAGGTAAAAGTGCCCTCTAGGTGCAACATCTGGGTACAGCAGGTCATTAGAACTAGATGGTTCTGTACGTTTCCAGGAGGCAGTCAATGACTTCAGAAAAGGATCTCAAACGCTAGCTCAAAAATGCTGTGTCTCTTTCCTCGTGGCCTGCTTTATACATTGACTACTTTGACTTTCATTTGACATGCAAATTGAGGAAATGATGCATCTACAAATGGTTGAGCTGCTCTGGAAGGCATCATTTTACAACATTGTCAATAACTGTGAACTGTAAAACAGGGCATTTTGTCGGAAGCTAGACCGTGTCCATTGACAGAGTAAATGTCTGTGTTTGTAGTTTTCATATTTGCCTTAAGTAAGAGATTGTTTTATTTGGTACTTTCATGTATGATGCTGGTCCTCTTGCATAAGCCTGATTTCAGGGTGTTTTTCAAATTTGAGGTATTAACATCAAGGCACCATATATGTGTGTGAACACGAGCTGTACAACTGGAATTTCAGGCGAAAATGTCAGAGCGAACTTACGCCCTCGAGTGAATCAAGTGTGACGTTAAGGGGACGAGAAAGTAAAGAAGGGTATTAATTCCTATTCAACCATGCCAATCTACTGGCAACATTCGAAGAATTTGTCCTGGCTGCAGGTCACTGAAGTTGCTAATTGTTAAACTGACATGTTGGTATTGCCTGGTCTTGTTCCTAGTACCTGGAGGTCCGCGTTGCACCAAGGCAGACATGGAGTCCATGCTGCCCATGATGAAGCTAGTCATGTACTGCATTGAGAAGGTCAAGCGATACAAGCTCAGCCGCGAGGTACTGCTCTGAGAAACTCTTTGTTTTTGACCGATAGCATGTGAACTAACGTCCTGGACATGCGAAGAATTATATTGAAATTGGTGGATCAAGGACTGTGTCAGGGTTATAAACCAGTGTCCACCCCCTTGACTCTATTTTACACTTAAATATTGACTGATTATTTGGATGATCGACATCAACTTTTTGGTCACAATTTAAAGCTTTCTGCTGGTGTTGCACTTCTATTTTCATACATTATTTGGGGCATGTCATGATTTGGGGCCTGTTACCAATGGCAAAGTTCTTAATACCCCTGGGGTAGCCTTTCCAAATAGTGAGGGGTAACAATGCCCACCTTGGGGTCTAAAAACGGAACCCAACCCCAGAATGGTTGGTACAGTGCGGGATGAAGTGGTTTGGGGAACAGTTGATTGGCAAAGAAAATCAGCAATCTTTGATCCTCTAATATATTTATCCCCCTCCTTGTTATCCCCCACCCCCAAGGCCAAACAAAAAGCTGACAAGGCCCGGGCCAAGGTGTCGGAATCCTTCGTCAAGCTGGCCCACGCCCAGCGCCAGGAGGCAGCCCAGCAGCGCCGCGAGGAGAAACGACGAGCCGAGAAGGACCGCCTGCTGAATGAGGAGGACCCAGAGAAAGCGCGCAAGCTGGAGGTTAGAATAGCAGGGTTCCCGCGACCCAGAAAAGTCATGGAAATTTGTTTTCATTTTCCAGGCCTGGAAAAGTCATGGAATTTTCGTAAAATGACCAAAGTCACAGAAAAGTCTCGGAATATTTCAAACACTGTTTGTGATTTTTATTATCAAAAATAAGTGCATAAAATGCGTGATTGTATTCGCAACGTTAAAAGTCCGAATAGTCCAAGAAATCACCTCTTTGGGTCATGGATTTTTATAATTCTGTCATGGAAAAGTCATGGAATTTCATTGTCCTTTAGGTGCAAGAACCCTGGAAGAGTCTGTTGCATATTTCATCAGGAAATGAGATAAAGGGCTTCCTTTTTTTTCAGCTACAATCTTTTTTAACTCACAAAAAGCCTTTTTTTGAAGGGGGTAAGATCTTTGCTGTCCCATTATACCAACCTTGCTGTAACCTGGCATGCCTTAAAAAGCACATCTGTAAAGTTTCGTTCCAATAAGCTTTTTGCGAGCTAAATTTGAATAAAATCTGGCACACTGAGTTCTTTCAATTCACGTGAACATAACAGTTTGAATTCTTCACACTAAAACCACTGTTGCTAAACCTTGTGATTCGGGGCAGGGTTTTGCTTTACATAAGAGACACCTTGCAACCATACACTGTTCTCAATGGATAGGAGGGGCACAAAGGAACCAGTCCATTCCAGAATGGTGGTCGCTATGCAAAAGCTTGCCTCGAATCACGAGGTATAGCAACAGTGTCTTTAGAGAATTCAAATCATTTTGTGTTTGTGCAATCGGATAACTCAGTGTACCAGATTTTATTCAAATTTAACTCGCAAATGCACATTTGGCTCACAGTTTTGTTGTAATGGTCATTTGAAGTTCACATATTTACATGATTTGGCGTGTGCACCGAGTACATGTCAACAGGAGAAATTAATCTTTTGGGTCAACTTGTCTTCGATGAGTGGGCATTTCACAGAAATTGTTAAAGTGCGGTGATTTTCCACCCAAGGACCATCATTGCTGTGTGGAGGAGTGGACAAACTTGGAAATTCAAGATTTACCTTTAAAACCTCTTCTTGACTTGCTCGTTTTCAGGAGAAGCAGTACCGCAAGGACATGCGCAAACGGCTGAACCCTGGCATGAAGCAGATGAAGGTCCGAGTCACATAAAGCTGCCATGGTACCATCTAACCCATAGGGGGCATCGGGGGGGGGGGGGTTTCCAACAACTTTTGGCTTTGTCTTTGGCTCCAGCTTTGCTGGACTTTCAGCCCCCGATTTTTGGGAGTTCTTAGCACACTGAAAAATGTATGTATTGATATCAAACTGTATGTCATCGATGCAGAAATGGTAGGGTTTGATATAGTTTGAACATGATGGACCCACAGGTAGTTCCAATGTTGGTGTGATCTGGAAAACCTCCATGTCCGAGTTTGTCAATCAAGTGATCTGCCAAGACAAATGACATCTACCTTTAAAGGGATTTTTTCCCATTAATTTGTGTGCTGCTCTATCCAAAATCAAATCAAATTTTAAAAGAATGTTTTTGTTAATTGATAAGCCAGCTACGTGTATCACAATCGTCTCACAAATTGAAGATCCTTTTCCTTGCTGTACTCGCTGATGCATCAAGCAACACAAACGTTGTTTAAGAATACACCAATATTTTTTCTGAACAACACAGCAAGGAGGGACTTGCGTACAGTTGCTTATACTATGCTGTTAATTGTTTTTCCAAATAAGAAAGGAATTCCTGTGTCGTATATTGTAATATAGATTATGCTGTAATGTCATCATGATACAGAAATTGTAAGGTTAACCCCTTCACTACGGAGGACTGCTACTACCGCACCCTTGTGTGAGGATCAGTGCATACCACAAATACAGTCTATTCACCGTGCAGCTGCTGGTTC